TAATAGCAATCAGTCAAGCTCAAGAACCGACGAGTATAATTACCAACGCCTTTCTTTTAAATATTAATTTCCTTCTTTCCAGGCGCGTACGCAGGGGGGGGGGGGGGGGGGGGGTAAAAAGAAGAAAAAACTCAAAGGGGGGGGGGGGGGCTGGTTTTCACAAAAAACATATACATAAAAAAAAACTGAAGGGGGGACCCAAAAATAAATGAAATGTGTCCTCTTATCCCCCCCCCCCCTGCTTTATATTCAGCGGCTGGCTGAGTCGTTGCAAAAAAAATTTGGCCCGATTTCAAAATGTTAACCCCCCCCCCCCCCTTGAAAAAATCCTGCGTACGCCACTGCTTCTTTCTCTCTTTTTTCAATATAAAAATTATATAGGACCTAACGTGGATAAGCAGTATACAAAATTTTTTTTTTTTCTTCTCCCCTTTCCAATCGTATCCAGTTTAATTTTAATAACCAAAACAAGGAATTAAAACTAAAAGAAACCAAATAAAACAAAACAAACATGATCGTAAAGGCATTCCAGTCTAATTGAAATGGTCATTCTTTATTTATATCTATGATTCTTCATTAAAAATTGCAAAATCATATCAAAATCATAGATCTAGATTCTAGACTCTACTCTCAAGATTCTATATGATTTTGTGAATTTTGATAAAGAATTTTAGGGGCATGGTTTTACTTTTTTTGGAAACCAATAAACTATCTATCTAGATCAGCAAGAAAACAATTATACAAAACAGGGGAACCCTGCACTTTACTGGCATGACGTCACTAGCTTAGTAATGATGTCCCGTCGAAAATGCAAAGTTTCGAGATCTTTGACCAACTTCAGAGTCATGCCACAAAAAAACACGCAAAAACACGCATATGGGACTGGTATCAGTTTAAAGTTTACAATCTCCTCTTTCCTTCTAAATATATATAAATATGCACATCATAGCGCAAGGTTGAGTAAATGTCCTTCAATATTCATATTCATATTGTCCAAAGAAATCATAACTGTCCGTGTAACTTGGCTATATCTGGTCGGAATTTGACGGTTCGAAAGCGTAGGACTTCCTTGTTTATCGACTCATTGGAATACAACTACTGCGCATATGATATGCGCAGGATGAGTGAATGCGCAGCCAGAAGGTGTTAGAGATCGAATCTAGTGTATTGCCAAAAACAGTGGAAGGATGACAAGGATGCCAAAATCGGCGGGGTGGAGCATCGGACTTCAAAGCACTGCCAAACCCAGCCTTATCGCTCTGATTTCCGACCCAGCGCTCATTGTTGCGTAACTTTCATAGCCTCCGGGTATCGAGCGGCTGTCTGAGCGTTGCTTATCAGGAGTTTGGGGATCAATTGCAGCAAACTAAGCTTGCTTAATACCCCAGGAAGGTCGTAAAATAAAGAATCCAGTCCTTGTATCCCAAGTCCCTGGTTAAAGCGTAATGCTTACATGTTAACCATACTAAATGCAAATATAGTATACACCATTTTTACTGAATATGAAGCAACAACAGAACAAAGATATTCATTTCCCCTGGCTTTTATTCTCATGAGCCTGAGTATTGAGGTGTCGAGGAAGTGTTGGGTTCCATTTCGTCCAGGAGATGTGCCTAATCTGACATTCTTCATTATAAAAGTTCATCACAGGATGCAATTGATTAGAAGAATTACTCTCTAATTTCCCCCCTCCCGGCGAGACAGCCCTCATTACTGAATCGCAAGATAGAGGGAGTTGTGAAAAGGCAAATAATTAACAGCCCGATGTTTGGGATGAAAGGATTTTGGGTAAAGCCGTTGTTTCCATATTAAGGGCGGTTCTTCTGTCCGCTTTTGGGATCTTATACCACACCTTTGTCATTTTTAGAACTAGTCCAAAACATGCTGTTTTTTGTTTCTAGAGCTTTACTGTACATTATGACTTAGGTTACCACAGGGCTTAAATATCACTGCTGATTTACATAGTACACAATCTGCAGCACTGACATGGTGAAGTCATTCATGATTTTTTTTCTTCATTTATTACATACTTGTGGCTTTCATGTCTTAATAATATCAGCTTCCCAAACTGAATCAGCTGATTTATGGTTATAACTTTTAAGATGCTGAAATATTGTAGCTATAGCCTTGGAGATAATTTCATGTTCAATTTTACAGGCATTTCCAGTGGGTTTACTCCTAGTTGTATCTAGCTTACAGTAGTTACTTAGACAACGTTATGCTAATGACATAGAAAATGGTGATATGGTACATTGTGTTCAGAGAGGGTGATAGGAATAGATGATATGACTCATGTCAACCAAAAGAATACATCAAATTGTTCAGGATTTTCCCCAAGAACCAGCTATGATGATTAGTCATAGAAATGGATACTTCATTTATGCAATTCTTTTGAGAGTTGTCTATTCATACCCTAACAGTACCGTGATGTTGAAAGTTACAGAAATCTGAGGATCACATCTAGAAAATATCTTTCCCATTCTCCTGCACTAAGGATGTTACAGAAGGAAAAGAGTTCAGGGTTACAAGGATGCCAAAGGAGGAAAAGGGTTTGGTTCAGGATTTAAGTTAAAGAAAGAAAAAGGAGAGACCAAACTAGTTTTAAGAAAGAGGGAACATAATCATAAAACAGTGTTGCCAAAATTAGGGCACAGGGGTATTTCTTCTTTTTTCTAAAGTATATATTTCAGTAAATAATTGGATCAGTATTTACAGTGGATGAGTCAGGGTCACAGGAGAATAAGGAGTCGAGATTCGGCCCGATCTCAAGGGAAGGGGAAGGAATCTAAGTTTGGATCTATGTCAGGAATGATGCTGCAAGCTAACAGAACTTAGCAGGAAGTATCAAGTTGACAGATCTTCCAACTCGAAACTCACATGGAGTGGAGAAAAGTCCATGGATGGTTGAGAAGGGGAGTAGGCCAAGTTAGAGCTTGTCCTGACACAAGATGGTAAATCAAGTTAGAAAATGGCCCTACAGAAAATAAAACAACACTGCCTCTTCTTAAGTTAAGAGGGCAATTCTCATTCCTATCGAGAAGTCTGAATGCTGAGAGCCAGAAGAGTATAAGTTCCAATATTTTAATTCAGAGTGGATGCCCTTGGCACTCACCAGATAAAATGTCTACCACAGGGACATTGCATGGTTCCCCATGTTAGTGGAAACAAGGCCTTAAGAGGTGTTCTTATTTGAATGTTGGTCTTTGATGATGGGGGTATAGGAGGAACTGCCAGGAAAGTGATGACATCACAAATTTAGAAAATAGCTGAGAGTGTCCGTAAAGTCAAATGGAAGAGGGAAGGGAAGAGGTCTAGCTTAATTGATAGTTCTATTTTAAGAAATATTTGCCAAAAGGGTCCAATTTGTTTAACTCTAACCAAATCCTGTTGCTATTTTGAGAAGCGAGCAAGCATTTGGTGTCACGCTGCAGAAAGGATGAAACCAAGTGAAAAGGATTTTGCCTGGTAAGCCAAGAAAAGTTTAGTTACAAGTATTATAACTAGCAGATTAAATGAAAGTTCATGAAAAGTACACTTAACACATTTCAGTCATGCACATATTTTATGTATATTTTTCAAAATCCATCCATGTTTTGGGGCTATTAGTGCTTCTCATTCATTCCAGGATGCAGTGTTTTCTGGAGCATATTGGAAAGTAGGTTTTCACTTCGACATTTGATTACCCGATGATTTTCATTGAGTTTGTAATGTAAATGCAGTATGGATTCAAACTCCAAAGTGTTATAGCATTCAAAACACTAGCAATGTATTGCAACCATTAACGGAAAGTTGCAATAGATGTGAATAACAATTTTGCAATCCCAGCCAATTGTCTACATGTATTAGATCATTAGGTCCTTGCTTAATGCATATAATGCATGGTCATTGACAAAAGTATATAGGCTTTACTTTAAGGGTCTGCAGTCAACAAGGATGTATAAAGGATATTGAAATGGATGTTGAAATCACAGTGACTTGACTGTTTTTAAGAGAACAAATTGTTGCCTTGGCGCTAAACCAACAAAACAATCAGAGAACTGAGGATTAATACAGGCAATCGGTTTGTTCCCCTTAAAATGAAGATTACAGAAACGTATGTCAATTTAGATTTGGTTGATTCAGCACCCATATCGTTTTATGAATTTGATTACAGTTTAAGAAGTACATCTGTACAGATAGACATCATGAAATATATGACATGATTATAATGCTTTGTAGGTTTTATGTTTAGATGAAAACATGACAGATAGTCATCTTGACCTCGGACTTGGAATAAGTATTGACAAGTTAAATATCTTTTTTTGCTGGACCAGCCAAATGATGAGCATGCACTATTTCAGCCTCAGTGGTTTGATTCACACTCCTACTTAATGATTGAGTAGGAAGGCTCACATGGACATAGGGACAATCAGAAGAACAACGAGTCCGTGGACAGACACGATGATACATCGCGACCGCAGCTGACCTAGCTGGGCTTGCATCTTGAACCTTAAGAGATGACACCTGTGAGACAATGATGACCTTATCTCTTCCAGCTAATCACATCTTTCATGCAGGCATAAATTGGCATGGACATCACCAGCTCAGGAGCTGAAATCACTTCAATCATGGCAAAGATATAGTGCAAAAATTCTAAGTACAAGACTTAAAGACAATGGAATCTTATGCATAGAATAGTACACCTCACCCGACCAATGTCTTCATATCTCTTCATTTTTATCCTTTGGTATCTGTTGTGATGCTTTTTAGCCATTAAATATGAAGAGTTTACTTCTATATTGAACTCAACATCTGAATGTATACCAAAAATGTACTGCTTTTTTCTCCTTCCATGATCCCACAAACAAAATGACTTTAAAAAACAACCTGTAAGCCTTATTGAGATATGCTGTGGAAACAAATGCGGCGACTTTTAAATAATTGTTAATATGTTGTACATCTCTGTATCCTATATAACAGAACTCAGGATATGCACGTTGGACATTTTGCACCATATAAAAAAGGCCAAAGTTTACTACAGCATGTCTGCATGGACAAGCCTTTGAAGCATGGGTGTCTTCATAACAGTTCCATAATAATGAATCCTAAATGAACATTTAACACATCAACAAACTACATAACACTTAAGAATAGTATATGTATATATTTAAATATACATATATATATAGGTAGGAGGGGAGAGTAACACAACCCATCATTTAAACCTTGTTCAATAATAAATAATCTATTGATCATACATAATTTGATATAATACTTTGAATAATTCATATTTCAAAATTGCATACACAGTTGGAAGTATTTATCAAATTTCATTTCTATTTGTATGATAAACCTCTTTTTTTTTAAATCTCAAGATGTACTTGCATTATAATACTGCGGTATAACAAAAATTATCAAAGTTTTAGATGTCATCAACTTCAATATGCAAGTCAGGTTTTCCTGAGACTTCTGAGATCTCCATTTTTTTTCAACTTTCTATCTTGGCCATCACCACCATTAGTAGCTTAAAACATACATGATTTATAGCTTAAATAGTACATCTTATATTTTTTCTTGGGCACATGATCCCAAATCACCCGTCTAAGTCCAGCTTCAAATCACGGAATATCTCGCTCATAGTTTCAAAGCAGTAACTACAAGCTTTTGAATGAATATATCTCAATGTCTGTTTCAGGCACAGAACTTTTTTTTTGTGAAGAACTTCAAATTTCCTTGATTACTGGACCAGACTGTAAACACAGTTGTGAAGTTTATGTGAATACCAATACTTGACCCATGTCCACATTAAAACCTGTGTTTCTTAAGCTGACCACACCAGTATCCTTTGATATTAATAGAGTGAACACATGAGGGACAGTCCTCCAAAGTGTTCCACCAAACAGCTCACATCTATAGGTTGTAGAAGGTTCTATCAAGGGATGTACATCCGACATCCTGTAAGCCATGGACTAACATCAAGACAACTGCCACAAGACAAATCCTCCATATGCAGCTCTCGTTGTAGTCAAAGGCTGCATCATAGAGTGAGTGAGTGAACTTAGACTCTTCAGATGGAAGGAATCCAGAGCTTCTGCACAAAATGTTCCATTGCAGAGCTCTAGGAAGTTTCTCCAAGCAATTCTTTCATTGTGGCGACTGCTCCAAGAGAGAACAATGGGAAACTGCACAGTTTGGACAGTTCATCTGCTCTCCACTTGCCCATGTCTCTAGCAGTGCACCCCATACTCCTTCCACATTGCTAAAGCAATCTTTAAGGTCAGTTCTGGAAGCCTCTTTAGAGTCAGGTACTGCTCTTTGTAGAGTTATAAGAATACTGAACTCTCTATTTTCCTCTTACAGTGTTTGAGCTGTCTCGTCTCCATCCAGTTGCAGGTACCGTCTGAAGACCTGATACAACTGGAATATTTTCCTTCGCAATCTGTGTTTCCTGAAAGGTATGGGTTATAAGGGCAGACATCCTTCTCCTTGGCTTCAGGAGGCCAGTACAGAGTTCCAGATTTTATCTACCAAGAGAGGAGAATAACAATTGTAATGATAATTATAAAATGATACTTCAGATTTATGTAGCACATATCTCAAAACAAGACTGTTATGCAGCACAGGTTTAAAATAGCCCAAACAAAATATTATGATATATTTAGAAATGGGCTGTGTGTAATTTTTTTGATACCAAGTATTTTTATTGGAAGGAACTATAAATGTATATCTAAAACAGGTCTTCAGACTTCATTTATCACTTTCTACAGTCATTTTCAAATTTCTGTAAGGGCTAGAAATGATTGTGTTTGTATTTTCGTCAGTGAAGCAGTGTTTTTGTTTTTGTTTTGAAGTTTAAAAAACCCTGTTCTATTTGCCATAATCCTTGGGGTAAACTTTTGTCTGGGTCAGGTTCTCCGCTCCCCAACCGTCTCTAATCTATTCTTTAGTTTTAGTGTTAATCTTTTTTGAACACATGTTGCTGTCTGTTGATACTCAAGTTGTCTGGGACAATGTCAAATCTCTGTCTACTGCATGACTAGACCTGTCCTTCCATTTTAATGAACTCCATGGATACAATTTGCTGTCAAGTAGCACACATTTTCTACAGACTCCTAGGCCCACATTTTGGGTAGAGTTAATATTCAAAGAGCATGGGTTTGAAATCTGCTTTTTACTAATGTATTTTGGTATATAGCTCAGGAGGCAAAACCACCTTCTCATGTCCTCTGTTTTAGCTGTCGTTATTATTTGTGTAAAGGGAATTTGGATGACCCTTCTGTAGACACTATCCCACAATATACAAAGTAGGCAAATTGCCTTGTATAAAGGTTAATTGACATTCCATCTCGGGGAGTAAACATGGTGTGCAAAACAACCCCCTGCTGTATAAGACAATGCTTTGATGGGTGCAGGTATGTACCCCTGAGGGGTGAAGATGACACAATTATTGTCCATGCAGGAGACAAATCAAACCCACTATAAGTTGTGTACAAAAGTTATGAATAACACCACACCAAGACAATTGACGTACCAACTACTGTACAATATACAACGCTTTTAAACAATTCAGTATGCAAGCAATTATCAGTAAAAGTATTAGTTGAAAGAACATATCTTACAATATCAAACTCTTCATACATTGTTTTCTCTCTCTGTGTGGGTGTGTGTGTGTGTGTGTGTGTGTGTGTGTGTGTAATCTCTTAGGATGACTGATTTTCTATCTATCATTGTCTCATGATGAGAGTTGGAAGTATTTGATTATGGGAGAACAAACAAAATTGTTCCAAAGTTGGTGTCATCATATCCTTGTTATCTACTTAAAGTGAGCCCTCAAGTGATCTTATAACCCCCTTCCTTTGTATACAGACAGTCTAGGATCGGTCTGACCTGACTGGATGAAGTGGACCTTCCTGTTTATGCTTTTCAATGCCTTTTTAATTGTTAAGTGTGATGACTGAGGGTCAAGTAGCTTTCAGCAAAGAATACATCCTTTACAGAAGTGATAGGGAAAGCTGATGACCAGTTGTAGGATTGTAATCGTTTAGTAATCGGTAATGAGATTTTGAAGCGGCAAAAGGTCTTGTGTTATGTGAGGACAGTAAACATGTTTTCTTGACAACCAGTCTGGTGTAATTAGGATAGGATGTGTGATAGGAAGTGACCCACTGATTGTAACAAACCGTTAAAACAATTTTTCTTCTTTATTTTTTTATCAGTTCACTTAAAACTTCCAAGGTTGATGTATTGATTCCTGAACTTGTTTTTCTACAAGTTTAATGCCATAACATTTTGAAAAATATGAAATGTTTCACACTTTGCTTTTTTTGTTTTGAACTAAGGTAAATAACTCCTTAGAAAGGCACATGTATGTTATAAATCTATTTTCAACAGTGGTTGAACAAACTGTTTGTGTTTGCATTATATATGGAATAAATGTTTCTTTTAATATGTCCTACATATATTGATAAAACAAATAGGGATACTCGTTGCATCAGATTCCCAAACCTATTTTGCTGTATTATGACAGTTTATTTTCAAACTTTGTTAACTCTAAAGGACAAAATATGTTAAAGAATTAAAATTGTTTGCTTGACAGGTTGTACTGACAGCAAACAAATGGTGGAATGCAAGAAGAGGCAAGGTACTTTCTGCCATATTATGTTGATTGTATTGCACCATGCATTTCCGTGGGTGTCTGTGTATTGATGGGTATTTCTCTACTACCTCTAATGCTTCTTTTCAATGGGAACAAAAAGTGACAAATTGTTTCTTTTATTCAGCTAAGTTTAGCTGATTTGTCACGCCTGGAAAATATAATCTTTTACAAATAAATGTGAAGGATTGGTTTTTTGGGGGGATATATTGTGACGTACATAAGCTGCTGAAGTTATGCAGCATATGTCAAATGGTAATATTTGTCTATTGTTCATTTATTTTGGCAGTGTAAGGATGCAGGACAGTACACAGTTTTGAAAGATGTTTTTGACACAATTCTTGGTGGGATGTGCATATATAGCAATGGATGTTTCAGTAGTGCTATCGACATCAGCCACATGTAGTTTCTCATTTTTACTGACAGTTCATAATTCTATGTAAGGGATATGAAAAAGCTATAAGGAACTTAAAATTTGAGTTTTCTGTCTGAAATGAAAATCTCAAGTCACTCCATTCCCCATCTAACCTTCCCCATGTCCAAGTCAATTAAGCCTTGAGGTCTCCTCAGGAACTGGGAACTATATCATGACACCATTTGGGTCCTCATGCTTCCTTATATTCAGAGATTAGGTCAAGACTATATTCATTAATTCAGATCAGTATGTCTTAACATCCTAGAGATACATGTATGTGCACTCAATGCTATCTGTGTCATTCATGGTTTGATGATGCTGTAGAAATTAGAAATGTAAATATAGAAAATGCAGTTACTTTTCTGTTTGAAACAAAATGATTATTTGGTATTCGTCCAAAGCATCGTGAAAACCACCCAGATATTTCCCCAATTTCCAAAAAAAAGTCTTGTACAATTCAATATAAATTAGACATTAGACATTAGAATGTGCATGTGATGGTGGTTTTTCAGATACATTTTGAGGATTCAATTAGAAGATCTCTGTTTGACTGCATTGGTTTGAATATAAGGTACAGCTCTGATTCCTCAGTCACACCAACAAGACCAACACCGAACCGATAAAGGACCAAACAAAAAATGACATCCAGATTGGCCAAGAACGGGACGGTTTGGCAGTGTGACATTAAAAGAATGAGAAAGCTCACTTTTTAAAACCTTTCCGTAAACCCAAATTTCATGAAGTGAGAACTTACTCTGCAGACATCGCAATATTTCTTGTAGGTATGCCTGAGTCCTCTCCTCTGATCCTTGGTGAGCTTGGACTTCTCAACTACCCAGTCACACAGGCCTATGAAGATCTCCCCATCTACAATATAACCTGCATAGGAAATGATGGAAAAGAGAGAGAGAGAGAGGGAGGTAGAGAGGGAGAGAGAGAGAAGAGAGAGAGATGGGGGAGAGATGAAGAGTCATTGTAATCAAATTCATTTTAATAAATTGATGATTTATAAGAGGTCACGACACACAGTGACTCCTATTTCACCCTCTTCTGACTGTTTCAGGGTTTGACTTGATATCTTAGTTAAGGATGACACTTTGGCAGATGAGATGCCCAGGTGACTTGGAAATAACTTCCTTTCATAGTAAACAACTTAATTGTTATTGCTTCAGTATAAACAAGAAACGACCAGTCAATAATCTTGACCCCCTCCATTGCTCAAATATGCACCCTTTCTGCTTGAGCCAGTATATACGTTGCCACAGACTAAAGGAGCCCCCTCCTAGGGTGTGGTGACGTACCCCTCTTAACCCCCATCTGCTAAGCAATGGCCCCTATAGTGTCTGTGGTTTGTAGCCCAAGTACCCCTGGGTCTCTAGCTTCTCCATCAAATGCAAGACATGTCAGGATCGTGATGTCTTGACTATACTCCGAGACAATTTGATGACAGTGCAGAGGTAATGACCATTCAATACAACAGTTCTCAGTGCACTGAAAAATAGTTCAGTTTTTTAATGTTGCAAAATACAATAGTTACACTGAACGTTCACAAATTTGTTCAATGTACTGAAACAGCACTGGATTCTGGAAGTTGAAGTGGAGCACTTACTGAGAGATGTGGTTGTCAATCAAGTGTTTCACTACCATCCAATGTAAATAGTCTTTGGGATACAATACAAAATGTACAAACTAGTCTCAAATAAACAAAACAAAAATAAATGTAAAATCAAGGATGTATCTATAAGGCTTCAAGTCCAGCATCTAACTTTGCTTTTAATGAATTGGGCCATCAATCTCCTGACATGGCCCCAGATGTTCTTGATATAAAAGAAGTGCAAGGAGTGCAGTCAATTGTGCAAGTATTCTCCCTGCACTTTCGCTAACAATTATCCCTCAGTACAAGTGACTTTTAACATGAATTATGTCCATGGGAATGCCGAGAAGAATGTGTTTTAAAAAATGAGTAAAGGGCTGGTTGTGAAAAAAGAAAGATGCAGTGAACATTGTATTGCTTCAAAGTCAAAGCCATTTTGGTGCCTTTTTGTTTGTATTTTGTGGCATAATTGGTATTTGAGTGACCCTGCCCAAGAGCGGCCTGCCACTACCCTTTTGTCAACACATCACCTTGTACAGTGCAAAGCTGCAGAGTTATCACAATATTGATAATTCTTTTCTGCACCAGCAACGCCTACCATTTTTCGTTCCTTTCACACTAACCCAAGACTAGCCAATGTTTGCAAGCTTGAGTGACAAGTTTGGACATTTGGTGGAGGTAGTAAGGAATGTCACTATTGGCTGAAAGGTATATTTTGAATCAATCATAGAGTTCCTTGTTGGAGGGTACTCCTGAGATACATAGATCTTGACAATTCCTGACCGTATGAAATACCCCTTATCCCATTTTCACACTATTTTATGACTGGCTAGGTAGAAGAAATATTAGGAACATTTAATTAATTATACTACAGTCATGCATGTAGCAAGCACAGAAAGATTTAAAATGCGAATCATGAATCAAATATTGCATTATTTGTTTGAATGTGCTTGGGTGAATGTGAGGATGTGCACCCTTGTATCGATTATGTAAACCCTGTTCTATTGCCAAGCCATTTGCACTGAGAAAAATATATGTATTCTTTTAGTTCTTTCCATTCATTTTTGCAAGTTAATAGTGTTTTATGACATGGGAATGAGAGCTGAAAAAATTATGTTTGACAATGATTTTGGGATACATTCTATTATGAGATGCATACACATCATCTATAAGGCAGCTAAGGCAAGATATACATGACAGTACAGGAAGTTTGGGTTCGAACTGTATTAAGAACAATGGCAGATCCTTAATGACTGGCAACAGCTGACTCTTTATACCTTCACATTCTTTAGATGCCATTAAATGTCAAGTCAAGTTCATTTTCTTGGATCCTTATCCTTCCTCCTAATGGTTGCCTTGGCCGATGTGTTGTCTTGATATCCTTTCTGCCTTGTTTATGATATATTATTTGAAGGGATCCAACATTTGCTCTGACGACATTCACTCTAGGGTTTATTCTAAGTTGGGTATAGGGCTATGATTAAAGTCGCAGCTAGGTATTGTTTAGGATAAGTGTTAGGTCTAGTGTGTTCATATAATGATTTCGAGATATGTGATCATTCTTTTGTTGCTGATCTGTTAAAATGTTGCTTCTTTGTTTTGCTCACTGTATGATAATAATAATTTCTTAAATAACATGAAGATGTGTAACAAGAAAGTAAACTTGGTGATTGACAAGGATCATATGAACTTTGTGTGGGTGTTAATCTTCAAGGAATGTACATATTAATTAAATCTTGAAATGGCCAGGATTCTAATCTTGTTAGAAAAGATTTGTAAAAGGAAACTTCAGAATTATTTCTTTTCAAAAGTTGTAATGACTTGTACAACTATGATTAAGAGAGGGAAGGGGAATTACTACCCTCCCCCCTGTTCTATAAGTATAAGGCAATGTGCTTTCATGGTCTTCTTGAACTGCATGAAGTTGCCTCTGGATTAACTTGTTGGAACTTATTTGAAACCTTTTCATAGCACAATTAGGTCTTCCGTAATATCCATTTCATTCTGGTCTATCTTCTTAAATTCATATATTCTTGAATGAAAGGCTTAGATTAGACTCTTAATTTGAAGGGTTGGACTCCATCAACTAGTCCAGTTCCACCTGCACTGCGATCAACATTCCACGCTTAGATCACATAAGTGAACGGAAGCTGAACAAGTGAATGAAGTCTATAAATTGGGGGGCTTATCCTACCACAACTAATTAGTGAAGTCTTAGGAATTGGATTGCTTTTAAAGGTTTCATAAGATCATTTGTGGCCTTTTTCAGATACAGTCAGGTAACAATTTGTTAGAATCCATCACAAATTGATTGAAAATCTTGAATATTTCAAAGCTTTCTCATAGTATCTGTTGTACATGTAGGAGCGAACCTGAAAAACAGAACATGTGTGTATTTTCTTAATTTTTCTCCATGGAGTAGAATCCCTTAATTAAAATATTTGAGAATTTTAAAAGTGTAAAATAGAACCCTTCATTAGAAAAAATACCTTTGAAAAAAATCTTGTACACAAAATAATGATATCATAAATTAGACATGTATATAAGTTACAAATCTGCCATTAAAAATAAATGTATATCAATGCAAGAACTGTTTAGAATACAAATTATTTTAAATATACTAAAAACCCTTTTGGTTTAGGCTGTGCCACAATTTTAATCCATCATAAATTCTTTTCTTTTTTTCAACTTAAATTTTAATCTGTTCATCCCTGAATATTCAGAATGTGGTGATCAAAAAGGTAATATTTAGAATGTACTGAAATAATCAACACTCATTGGCATATACATGTATATTCATTATATACCACAGATATTTCTTTCTAGGCATATTTGAAATGTTTTCCTCTCTTATTTGCGAGGTTCACATGCCTCCAACTTCATGCAGAGTCATCCTCAAGTACAGGTTGTTTACAGGGAAAATAATCAAATGTGCTACTGGGTGGAGACTTTCTGGCAAATTTTCACAGGGTTCAATTCTCTACTTGACACCTACGCCCACACCCTAACGCAAAGAAGCTAGGTGAGGGAAGATGGGAGTAAGACCTAATTCTGCATTTTCAGATCTTAGGTGGTTCAAGAGTTCATATCCAATTTGATTCAACATGGGTACATTCACATCCTTGACTTAGTCGACTGAAGCGAAATTGCAGATTTCCAGTTAAAGGTTGTATGTGACAAAGCAAAAAATAAGAACCAACAAGATGTTGTTAAAGATGTTGCTTAGTAAAAAAAAAAGGGAAGACAAAAAAAACAAGAAATAAAGATAGAGTTGAATCATTTTCTAAATGGGGAAATGGTATATAGGCCCAAGGGTCCTAGCTCGTTGAATGTTTACACACTGTATAAGGAGTATTCATATCATTATGTGTTTACATGATAGTTTGTTTGTAAGTCCTCCTGAACGGACTCTCACACCTTTCAAGGAGTTAGTTCTTGGATAGCGGCCAACAAAAAGATACAAATACCTGTACAACCAAAATGCATTCTTGATGATTGTATATATGAATTTGTATGTACACACACTCAGATATGTATAGTTAACCTGTAACTTCTTTAAAAAAGCCGTCATGGGAGACATGTTATTTCTTGAAGACACTGAAGAAGTTTACTTTTATTTCAAGAAAAGCAACTTTCTCTGTCCACTCAAAATCTCTTCACCCCTGGATGGTAAACAAATCAGTAATGATATATTTCTGTCCCATCTTCCATTTCATACCACTTTCTCTAAAACCAAATTGTTTTAAGGCACATCTATTGAGATGTTGGTGCAAATGAATAAGTTATATTTGTTCCCAAACACCTTGCGTCCTCTGTTCTCTCCCTATCAAGGAGAACAAATAATGAGTTTAACAATTGAGCTGTTTGAAATGACTTTTTCAGGGTGTAAGTAAAAACGATAGGAAGTGATTTTGATTGACATTTAAACATCTCTCAAGGATGTTAAATACAGAACTTTATTCATATTAGCCACTGCATGTTTGCTCCAGATATTTCAACTCTCAATTAAAGTGATGACTGCCAGACTATAGGCAATACAAAATAGGGAACATTGTCTTTATGACATTAAGTCATGTAGTACTATTCACTTTTGTGCATAGAAGAAATGTAAGTAAGGGTGATGCTTTCAAGTCCAACAAATATATCAAATAATGCACATTCCCAAAAATATTGTTGGTTTGGTATCATGTCAGTACAAATAGATGTTTGTACTTGAGTCACAAAGAGACCAACACCAGACTGACAACAGACAAAACAAAGAATTTCATTACCCCCCAAATGGCCAAGATTTTTAAATTTAAGAGTTAGTTTGGGGTCGTGTCAGCCTGGCATAGGATATTTTGTTTGTTTGAAGAAAAGATATTTCTTGTAACTTACCAGCAATAAGGTATCTTGTATCCATTTTGAGTTGTTTTCCACACATGCTTTCTTCAGGTTCCGTAAAGACATTGACTGTTGACTTGACTGAAATCATCTCCTCTCCCTTGTAAACCTTGTCAACCTTTAACGTGTATCTCCTCCTGTATTGCCATGGAAATGTCTCCTTGTATGCTCCATGATGATAGGCTTGGCGTGGCTGGTCAGCCACCATGAGAGGTAGCTCAGGTTCCTCAAGATGCTGGGGTTCTGGAGGCGGGGCTTCATCAGCAAGGACCAGTGGAGGGGGGTTCTGGAAGCCCAAGAAGGGATTCCTCCACTCAGGTTGCCTTGGGGGAGGATTCCTTGGGTGTGGCCGACGGAGGACAGGCTCCCACCACTGGCGCTCTCTGAAGTCAGGGAACTTGAATGGTGGCCTCTTTGTGGTGGTTGGTGGGGGTAGCGTAGGGACAGGTGCCTTGGAGGATTTGACGCCACCGTTCGGTACAAATGCCTCTGCTATTACTTTCCCTCTGATAACTGAAAATACAACACATAAGAAACATAGAATAATTGTATCAAGTATACAAAGAAAAGATTTTGATGAATAAATCTCATAAGTATAAATAAAAAGGAAAGACAAAACACACCATCAATGCCTTAATGTTGTTGTTGGTGCTACCCTACAACCCCCCCCCCCCCCCTCCCCCTCCAGCATTTTCATTCCCATTAACTTTGTTTGAATACTGTGAATGTCGCACAAAGAATGACTTCTTGCCTTAATAGTAGAATAAAAAAAAAAGAACACTGACTACTTTCTCCCTTCATACCCTTGAACTGAGAATGACATTCATCTCATTTAAGAGGATAATCAATTCTGCAGACACTGTCTGTGGCCATTCTGGCCTCACTCTCAATCTTGGGGTACTGGTAATTGTGTCTAGGGAAGGGACTGAAAGTTGATAAGACTGAGCAAAGTACATTGCTAGAAGGAAATTTCACTCTCTCACTCATTCATTTATTCATTCACATGTTTGAGTGGATCTTAGAATGTTAAGTAATGAAATATGATTTGTAGCAATTTTTGTGACTCTTTCCCAGGTCTCAATGGAGATTTTTAATCATCAGAAATACTTGTGATTTCCTGATTGTTTCTTCAACTTTACCAATCAGCCATGGCTTAGAGTGTCCTGCAATGCTTTGAACCATTCACAGTGTACATCATAGATTTGATTTCTGTGCCTGGCACAAGGGCATAAGAACAATTGTATTTTTCAATTACTTTTTAATTTGATTGCTGAAGTAATATTACAATGAACAATATGGAAATTGTACCACCCCGAGATGTTAATTACACTTGTCTTTCTTGAGAAATGCAGCAGTTATTCATGTACGATTCCTTTTGAAATTCAGGAATCGACAGAAATTCTCCAAGATAGAATCATAATCATACTGCAATGCAACAACCACCTCACTACCACATCAAGTTATCTCCATAGCGCGTACATAGGCCTTTATACATGTTTGATTTCATGTAGGTAGTTCATGCTGTTAGAAAGGACTTGGCGAAGGTGAGCGCTAGTTGCGGATGGAAAGAGCTAGGGACTTGAGTCTTCCTGAACAATTTAATTTGTTTTAACGACAGGAAACTATCAAAGGCAACGTGACAGGTCCTCAGGCCTTGGAGACATGTGCCTTTTCCTGCGCCTGCATGCCTCTAGACCATAGATCCTTCAAGAACCCTGTCCTCTCTACGCTCACCCTCTATAGCTATTGTAAAACACTTCTCTTATTTATTTCTATTTTTTTTCTCACTCCTTTTTACCATGCATTCATTTATTTCCAGTTTGCGTGAAACATTGTAGGGTTTTGTGGGGGGGGGGGAGGGGGGGGGGAAGAGCATAGAGGTTCTAGAACTGATTCCCCTTTCACTGCCATATATTACATCTAATATTTTGTTCAAGAAAAATCTTACTCTCTACTCATAATTGAAATGGGATCTGAAATATATATATAGTGGAACATATCAAGATGACCAGTAAATAAGCACTCTGATTGAAAAATTGTCTTATGAAATGTAAGTTTTTCCATACAATATTGAGACCTTTTTGACACCACGAAGGTTGAAATGCTGTGTAACCTCACATCGCACTACCTTTCCATTGCTACCCTCTGCTATCCCTCCCTGTCCCTGATAACAATTCTACATCTCTATTTAGTATTGAAATATTGCATTCATAACTTTGGTACATATATCATCTGTTGAGAGCGTCAAGGGTGTTAACTCATAATGCCCTTCTGGCTCTCAACAGACTCCTCCTCATACAAAGTGGTTAGAGCTTAGGCAGAGGGCATGTCTGGTTCATGGAAACTGAGCCCCTATCAACCTACTTTAGTTTGACATTTTAATTTCAAGCAAGGGTGATGGAGGGTATAATAATAATCATGGCTTGGGAAGGATAAAGCACTTCTAGAGTTAAGGTTGGAAACTTCAATAGAAAATGATCACATTAAATTTTTCCACAGGGACAAATTTCATCACATGATGGAATGGCATGCATCTTCATGTCAGGAAGGCATTCAATATTACCAGTACATGAAATCAGCAATTGAGTGAAATATCTGCCATTTTGAACCATTAATGTTCATAGCTGTGAATGTGTGAGTCACTTATGTGAAGTTCAAGACAATGTTACTTCTTGTTAAAAGGAAGGCTGTTGAAATTATTCTTGACAGTTTTATTGAAGAATGGCACTCCAAGCATCCATTGTTTCTCCAGAGACCATGTGTTTTTTCTTCAACAAAAGCAACTAAAGTTTCATATAAAGCTGACTTGAATGTACCCTTTTCAAACATATGTTGAACAGTCACTGCATAGTTGATCCTAACTTGTGCCTGCAACAGCCAGCTTAAACTGAAAAAAACTTCATTGTAGTTTTTAAAAACCAAGTACATCAAAAGATGATCCAATTTTTGTGTGAGTAGTACTTTTTATTCATTAGAATACATGTGCCGGTAACTGTTCATTCAAAATACAGACGAACAGTGTTCATTATAAAAAAAGAAGCATCTATTCAATGTAGACATTTTTATCACATAAATCAATTGTATGCATGAACTACCTGTACAATTTCGGATGAAAATAGTAAACAGAGTGGAATGTTCATTTGAGGAACATTACTGCAATCTTTACATTTATAGAGTTTCCTCTAAATTTTATGAAATTAAATTGACAAAAATCAGGGACACGTCTCGATGAGCCATCTGTATGTCGCATCTTGTGGAATAGACACATGACAGAGTTCAACTGTCCTTCCAACGCAAGCTGGAGTGTATTGCACTTTATGTGAATGCAGCTAAGTATAGGACAGAGTATATAGCTCTGATCACATTCAAGTCTTTGCAAATATTAGGTTAAGAAGCTAGGACAGAGGGCCTGTAGAGGTCGAGTAGCCAGGGTGCATTCCTTCACGATCTCTTTGAAAACATGACAGGCAGCAGGCCAGGCAGGCAGCGAAATATAATAAACATGGGACCCAACTGAGAAACTGGTTCATTGTGAGCATCATCATTCATGTAAATCACACCATTTCTCTTTATTTGGCAACTGATTGTGATACTATGGAATTTTTTATTTTCCCTCCAATATCTAAAACCAACATTTGTTTTCTTCTCTCTGTCTGTTTTTCATCCTCTCACTCTCTTCATATCTTTACGGACTATTGGTCATATTTGAGCTAATACCTACGCCAATTTAGATCATGAAGATATATAAAAAAAAATAAGAGATAGGGAGGGAGAGAGAGAGAGAGAAAGAAAGCGAGAAGAGAGAGAAAAGCAAAGACAGGGTGAAACCATACTAGGAGACTACTTTGCACAGCAGTCAATAATTCAGTATGACAGTCAGTCATATTTTTATGAGCATTCCCCTAACAATGGGTCAGTGACAAGCGGAGGTCACAATGGCATAACAACAGAAAAACTGCCCTTCATATTTCAGTCCACAACTGATCGTAAATATCCCATTCAGTATTAGCAGACTGGTATGTACATCTTCAAAAGAGACTGGTATGTACATCTTCAAAAGATATATGCCAGTTACAAAACTTCCTTACAGTTCAGTCACTTCGGGGGGAAAGCAAAGTGAATAACAAAGTGATCAATTTCCAGCTTGGGTTCTACAACCTGTCATGTTTTAGTGGGATCGTAATTTGCTGCTTGTTTAGGTATTGTTGCAGGGAATGTCAAAGTCAACAAATTGCTTTCATGATTTTGATTGATGGCTTTTCAGCCTCAAATAAGAGCTGTTTTGGGGTGCACTTTTTTTTCTTTTACTTTTTTGTATTTTTTAAAATACTTTTTACACCACTTGTACTATTTGTCCCATTTTTGTGCTTTTGCAAGATATTTGCCTTAACGAAATCCACAAGCAATAAAACTAAATTTGTTATTCTTAGCTGCCTTCATTGAATACAATTCAAAAGAATGTTGATTACAATCAGAACAGTTTCTGGTTCTTTTCTCACCTGAACATTAATCATTTCCCTTAATTTCCCATTAACTCACTAGGTTAAGGTGAGAAGAGCTACTTAGGAATGATCTATGCCACTTGTAATCGGTATTTTCTCATTTTAATGATGATTAGGCGGTGTGTAGGAATTCCTGTCACACTTCGCCTACAGGTAATATCTTCAACTTTCATGTTTAGTTCAAGGGCACGATCAAAAGTCATTAACGACAAGTTTAGTAGTTACATATTTAAGTGCCAAAAGTAATGAGAACATGTTATTAGTCCTGTTCATCCTGTGGATATTTACAACTGCAGTGTCATTTGTGTGGAATCATCAATCAAAAAGTCAAACAGAGATGACAAAAACAGAAAAGTAAACGGTACTTGTAGAAGCAAAATATTTCAATCATTGTCACCCACTATTTATCATCAAAACTTGAAAAGAAACAAGTCTGATAACTTCAAATTTATTTATCATAGTTGTCACCTGCATCATGCTTTTTTTAAAATACAGTTTACATTTGATTTGTTATGGATGTTTACATGGTTTGGATACTGTTCTTTAAGTTAAAACATATCTTTTTGCTCAAGTTTTTTGCAACAATAGCAAATTTTTTAGAAAGTTGGAATTTATTCTGTGTCTTCTCATACACCTTGCGGCACTAACATAAGGAACAAATATTCAAGTCCAAATTCAATATGACTAGAAGCCATTGCCGTTGCTACTGTGCAAACTATATCCACATGGTATCACCAATTTGTCAGAAATTGGGTGTAATGGAGATTGACATGGTGAGAGGAACAATGAGAGATGAAATGGATTAGAAAATTGAATCGGAGGTTTAATTTGTTAGATTGTTGAAAAGGAAGATATTGTTTGCAGACAATTGTCATTACCCTTTGACAGTATCCTCAAGGCTTTCATGTCAAAAGTTATTGGATCACAACAAGCTTACATGGGATTTTTTTTAAAGGGACAGAATTGAATGTTGTTGATATGGATTTACAAGAAAGACCCCATGTCCCCCCC